GAGTAAAACGTCAACGATCAGAAGATACGGGTAAGACAGAACTTCTTCCTAGCAACTTCCTACGTCTCACTGTCAACAACACCCAAAATCACGTGACCTCTCATAATCCATCTTGGTGTGTCTCTCTTCCTTAGTAAGTAATATCCGATCGTTCACTTCCTGTCTGCTTCTGGAGTTCTCCATTTGCACAGCTTACCCCCACGTAAGTAAAACTAAAAAAAAACCCCCCCCCCCCCCAAAGAATCTATAAGCCGAACTGATGTCTTCCCTGAATCTGTTATATTTGTTTACGTAAACGTTGTTGGCATATTTTTACAACTAAACATTCCAAGGGGTTTTCTGCATAGAAAGACGTGGCGCTATATCGGATTTGATTATAATGCTTAACGGTACGAATATCTGATACAGATATTGGCAACATGGCGCTTTACCGGGGTATCCCCTTTGAAATTTCATAGGTAAATTTAAAATTTATGGTTTCATTGGCGCTGTATCAAGGTTTGACTGCATTTTCTCTATGTTCAACTTATATTTACAAGTTTATCTATGATTGTGTTTTAAATTCGGTAACATAGTTCGAAATTATTCTGTCTATTTTAAGTTGTTGGGTATAAATGAAATATTGGTACGTGTAAAGGATAGTGTATCCTCAGTTAATTTCATAAATATAATATAAGAAGTGACTTGAAGTATATCTCTGTATATGATCGTTCATTGGGGTCTATTTATTTATTTGAGATCTCAGTTCAGAGAATGTGTCCGATTAACCCAGGATTTTTGCGACCAATAGCTCTAACACAACTGCCTTCATTGGCGTAATTAACTTATCATAAACCTACATACTCATTCTTATCATAATTGATCTACTCCTTTCACCCCAATTTCAATTATAAATTCCTAAATTTTGTTTTCTCATTTAAATCTACTTTTATTACGGGAAATTTTCGATATTATTTAATTCTGCATCATCTGTTATTCTCTTGTAAGCCGTTTCTTCGCTGACAATTACAGTTTTCCACTCATAATCTGATTTCTCTTCATCGTCTGTGTTTTGTTCACAATCTTTATCATTGTTTCAAGAACGTTAACTCCTTACCTGTTCATTCTCAGCTTTCAGATCTGCGTGTATTATTCTCTTCATGATTACATTTTAAAATATCTTCATTAAAATTTCCTTCACTTAAAGATGAATTTGATTGATTCTGATTACCTCAAGTCATTAGGTTCCAATTTATAACACAAGAATACTCAGTCTCTAGGTCTACTATAAACACGAATATGAATATTTGCATAATTTAATAGTTGATTATTCTATTATGTTGTTTTAAATTACTTAAATCATATGGCTTCGAGATTTATTCTATAGACTTTAAGTCAATAAAGTGTATTTAGTAATTTTTCTATCTTATAATAGGCCCACATATTCAACGAAATCTTATTATTTTTAAGTTTAAACCAAAATAGGCCTAACCAAAAGCTCACCAGGTCATGGGTTAGCAAATCGTAATTTTATAGCACACGCAGTTGATAGAATGTCGTTAAATTATCCAATAAATAATCCTTGTAATTCAACAAAAATGTATAATTATCAGCAGAGAAGTTACACAGGACTTAAGTATATATAGCATTTCAGTGCGTATTTAAATTCATGAGTTAACATTCTGAGATGTGATGATAATGTTGCGTCGTATTGTGATAAATATATATTTGTTTAAATCTTGTCAGTCTAATTACAATAAAATTCCTATTAAATATTAAAATATTACTATAATTAACATTTAAATATTTAAAATATATTAAAATGATGTTCGAATACGATATTAAAATACAATAAAATCTGGAAGATATCATCATTTGATATCCGAAAAACATCTGACTAAAAGTTGCACTTAAGAAATTATATTTAAGTTTATATAATTTTATACACCTGAAGATGGTTCATTTAGAACTGAAACATGTCGTGAAACATGAAAAATGATGGTCTAATGTAAATCGAATATTTCGATAGAGAACATCATTTTAATATATTTTAAATATTTAAATGTTAATTATAGTAATATTTTAATATTTAATAGGAATTTTATTGTGATCAGACTGACAAGATTTAAACAAATATTCTGAGATGTGTTTCAATATGCCAATTCCTGGCGACTACTCACGTACTCCTACGGCATGAATAATTTTTCCGTGGGTAACTAATTCAAAAATATATTACTCGAGCTACCGTACAAAATGGACCTGCTTTTATATTAAGTCTCTGCAGGTGCTGAAATTGGTTTAAAATGTAAATATAAAGGGTTGTCAATGAACTGCTCTTCAAATTCTTTGTATGTGGGCCTATTAATATTTTTGATATCGTGATATTATCTAAATTATTTTTAATTTATTTGAGATATGTATAGTCATAACTCTGTTGAAGACACTGATTGTGAACTTTTGGCTTGTGATGCACTGTAGTTTCACAGAACGCATCCCATCCATTACTTCTACCCTGCAAATAGAGGCGATATGATCCTCCTAAACGTTGGTAACTACCTACATATCTATAGTATCACAAACCAAAAACACCGAATGTATGTACGAAGTTTTTGTTGGTACCCTTGAGGAATCTGGAGCAAATTCCAGGACTGCAGAGTCTTTAAAAAAATTTCCATATTCACAATTCACGAATATTGTTTATTAATTTTTTTTATTATTATATTTTAATTGCGTCATGTTTGTGTTATATCAATACATATATTTATTTTTCCAGTCTATACACAAAACTTGTTTTAAAATAATGTTGTTTAAATTTTTTTATAACATTTACAATATAAATTGCATTATGTTATATTTTATGGAGCTTTTCTGTGTCGTATAATATTACATCTATCACAGCGCTTTTGATTTCGACGACATGTTTCGATGTTTACCACATCATCTTCAGGCTTATTAATTCATACAGTTGCAGTTTATCGTCTGTGGATATCAGACGTCCGATACATCACAATACAACCTGATAATGAAAATCAAAATGCATACTCCAAATCAAGATGAAGACTGAAAATTAAAAATCAATAAACGCAATGCACAAAAATGTACAATAGTTTTTAAAAATGTAGGTTATCTCGTACAAATATTTAAGAAAATTCGACCAAGCCTCAAAATTTACTGAGGAAACAAAGGAATCAGTACCCAGGAAATTTATTTTTAAAATCTCCTGGGAACAAGAAATCGTATTAACTGATCATAGGGCGTTGTTAACATTTCGTTCTGATTATGTCGTAGAAATAAGCGTTGTAAGTTGCATCTCTGTCAATAATAAAATTGAAGAAGGCAGTTGTAATTAGACCTAATAATGTCAACAAATCTCTTTTATCCATGCAAGTAATCGACTGTTATTAAGCTCTCCGGACGACACCCATGAATCATTTTGAAGAAGTGGTTGTAAATTATGTGGAGACTATGGACAATAAAGGAACTATATTATTTGTCTTTATGATGGGATAACTGAAGATGATACATTGTGTGCCTTAGGCGTGTCTGCAGGTCGAGATATATAAGTTAGTTCCGTATAAAAAATTTGTAAAAATTTAAATTTTTTTTTTCAATTATAATATTCTATTAAATAAACATACAGTAGCGACAGGTATCTTATTTATCTACGTAATAGCCCTGCTTTTTAATGTATTTGTTAAAAACATTCTACAAGTTTCATGTTTCCATCAGAATAAAATATTTGCGTTGGCTTCTAAAAATTTTTATTTTATAATTCTCATTTTAAATGCGATTTCTTCAATGCTGATATTTAAGTTTTTCAAGACACTATGATGTATCTGTTCCTTTATCTAAACCACTGTTATAATTGGCATATGTTCAGTTCATCATCAAAAACTTGGCATGAGAACATCTTCAGATACACAAGTAATTCATACAAAATATCGGAACGTAAAAGATGTTGAACTGTCATGTTGTTACAGTGTCGGAAGTTTGAAAGGAAGATTTCCGCTTATCAGCAGATAACCAAATAAATTGTATTTGTTCGCCGTGATTGTGCGAGGCTGGATGTTTTCGGCTCTTTTCACATTACATCAAACATCTGTCTCATATTCTTTATCACTATCGTATTCCATGATAATTAGTTCATAATTAATACCAAAAAGATACTAAATTGAATGGTTTAATATTTCTGCAAATTTGCATAGACCAAGGAAAATGATTTATAGTCTGTACTCAAATAGTAACCTAGCAACTTCATGAATCTGGTAAAAAATATATTTAATAAATGTATTTTTTATAGTTTATTTAACGACGCCTTATCAGTAGCTCAGGTTCTTTAGCGTCGAAAGAATAACGAATGTGAAAAGTTACGGAATGAAGCGGTCGTGGCCTAATTTAATGTACTAAACCTTAATTTGGTTGGAGGGACTAAGGAAAACCACTAAAACAGTCACGATACCTGGTCTCCGGGCCGAGATTTTAACCCGGAATCTTCCGAATACGAAGCAAAATTGTTAATTACTCAGCCACGACGTTTGGTTTAATTAATGAAAGGACCAGATATATGATAAAGAATGTTACGAAACATTTGAAGATTTTTGTATTTGCTACTGAGCACTTCGAAATGTAGAAGGGTTATTTGTTTCATTCACTGTAGGGTAGGTCATTTGTGGACTTATATCAGAAAACGATGTTTTCTAAAACAAGTTTAAAGTTTAAATGCGTCATGTTTGTGTTTTATAATTAAAATATATAATATAATTCAGGTCTATACACAAACTTTATTTACAGATATTAAAATTTAAAATTTGTGCTATTAGTAGTAACGATGAATAGCGCAAATTTTAAATTTTAACATCTGTAAATAAAGTTTGTGTATAGACCTGAATTATATTATATATTTTAATTATTATATATTTTAATTTCTAAAACAAATTAGTCCAAATCCTTATCAATTATAAATTTCCCATCTCAGTGATTTAGACGTACAGAACTTAGTAATGGCGTTGTTACTATTGCAGATTCCCAGGAGAAGCGAAACGAAGTGGACCTCGGTGACCCTCATCTGTCTCGGACATCAACAAATAATGCATCGGAAGACGAGGACACTTCAGGAAAGAAAATAAATCCCCGAAATGAAGGAGACCCACAGCTGAGACTGAAGCAGAATTTGAAGGTGGAGCTTTGTTCCAGGGATCTTTGGAGGAAGTTTCACTCTCTGGGTACGGAGATGATTATTACGAAGGCCGGAAGGTAAGAATGGTTAACCAACCATTAGTTAGCACATAATATTTATACCATAAGAATAATCTGAGCAGCGCGTAGGAGCTTTATGATTATATTAAATTCTATGTCTGATGGGAAATAATCTAATATATTTTATTCGATTTTTAGGTCAGTATATTAAAGTAGCCACAGCGTATGTCAATATCTTCCTCAGTTTTAAATCAAGACCGAAAATCTTTATCTGCTATAAGATATTCACAACAAGCAACGCGTTCATCATCTATGCTGACAGACAGACAGGTCATTAGGTTGACCAGGCAAATCAAGAACCAATGTACACGTTTTTCCTTTATACATTTGTCAGTACATAGAAGAATAAATTATTATTGGGTATGCTCATGTCGAGGGATATTTTACTGACACCAGGAAGTATATATGCCTAAATGTTGGCCACACTGGCGATAAAATCAATTATATTAATCATTAAAACAACTGTTATTCGGATTTTCATATAGCATTTATAAGTAAAATATTATTTTACCTGACCCCCAAATACAATATTAAAAAGACGTTCTGGGTAGAAATTACTTTCTTCTGTTTTCCTTGGGAAGTTTTCATTTATACAGAGATACTAATTAAAATATATCCCCTTTTAAAGCCGCATCTCTTATAAATAATACTTAAAAATTCAGTCCCTGCCTCAATGAAAATAAAACGTGTCTCCATTACATAAATCTCATAATCTATGGGTGTATGGTGTTTAGGTAAATTATCACTGTTATACCTTAGAATCATATAAAATTCATAAATTTATTTTGTGCTCAAAACGCAAAGTTATTTGAGGTTAAAGCACACAGATTTTAGCATAATTAAGAAATAGCCCATAGAACGAGTATATTAAAGATTATTTTGAATGAATTAGTTTTCAAATTTAGCCTAAATCAAAGGGATTTTAATCATTTTAATCATTAAAACTGTCGAATTATCAATAATGACTGTAATTTTTAACCTAGGAATATATTTTATGAGAATTTTGTCCGTTTTAATTTTGTTTAATCGAAAGTCAGTCTGCGAGTTGTGTAAATATTAGATGGTTTTAAAAACTTGTGCGGAATAAAAGTCAGTTCCTTGCTGTGCCCCAGAGAGTCACGTGACCTGGCTTTGGATTGCACGAACACACACACACCAACGAGAAATATGAAATCATCACATGAGACAATTTTGTTTACCGTAGGATTACAACTGCAATCTGATTCCAAATGCCTTAAGATAATCCTGACAGGTTTAAGCCAGCGCTGATATAGCTGGATTGAACAGCTATAACGAAGCTTCGTTACTATGGAGAATTCATGTGTTTTGTGCTCTTATCTACTGCTAACAGAACAGCTAAAATAATTCTTAAGCAAAGTCAATTCCCGCTCCGGAAATTAAATCACCACCAACATCACCGCATATTGTGATGAGCTGATATGAGACCTGGATTAATTAATCGTGTCCAGTTCGAAGTTCTCTTGATTAACAGTTCCCTGGTTTGTTTTGTCGTAATGAACTTTTATGGTTGATCGGTTGGTGTCATGTGTCGTCACACTTTTGAAAACTGTGTCAATTGAGATGATTTTTCATTAAAGGTTTATAAACGAGAACCTGTCGTGACGTGTTTGATGATTGATTATTCGAATATTTTTTGATAATTATATTGAGACCGTGAGATTTGGCTGAAGCGATAAGCCTACTGGCTTACTTTTCAGATTTATAGTTTTGATGCGTCATGTTTGTGTTTAAAATTCACATATATATTTATTATTCAAGTCATATACACAAACTTTCAAATTTTGATGTTAAAATTTAAAATTTAAATTTGATATTCTGCGCCATTCATCGTTATCTCGATGTTACAATGAATGGCGCAGAATATCAATTTTAAATTTTAAATTTTAACATCAATAATTTAAAAGTTTGTTTATATGACTTGAATAATAAATATATATGTTACTTTTCAGAGTTCTCCACTTCGAATCACGGTTGGAACATCGGCCATCATGACTCAAACTGATTATAAATACCGTCAACACGACATGATTATTAATTTATACCTCAATTAATAATTTGATTAGGGTTTTGTGTGTGTGTGAAATCACGTTTTAACAAACAACACTTAATTTAATTAAGCATAGAACTATAAGTAATTTAGGGTTTGAAGATTTCTGTCTTCTGGGTTATTGCGCCGTGTAGACTGGTAGATTTCCATCAAATTTTCAGAGGTCATACTGCCTCCATCATCAGGGCGATTCACCGCTGTAAAAACCTCAAATCCTACAGGGTCCCTACTATGGTAAATATGATTAATAAATAATCATTTTAAAAATTTAATTTGGAACAACTACAATAGTGAAATATATGAGGCCATGAAAGGTAAATTGTGTCACAAAATCATGCACAATTTTCGTACAAAATCTCTTGAAAAACGTCCTCTCGGACGACGTGGGTCTTAGGTTAGGTTAGTTTGTTACGATGTAAGATAGATGTAACGAAGTCAAGACCCTGAGCATTGGCGGAATTGTAAATGAACAGTGCCAAACCTTCGGGTCTTCTGACGCTGTGTTAACTTACCCTAAGCTCTGCGATCTTTTAATTAATATTGTTCCAATTTTCGTAATCACAGCCTCGAAAAAACTCATACCTTACTTAGTATCCTCCTAAATTTTATGATTTTATATAATTATCATAACTATCTCCTAGATAATTTATCAGAGTCTCCTCTTTGATTCTTACGATTTAATATCGCAGAATTACAATTCATGCATAAACTACGATGGTTTCATGCTCCTGTAGAGGTTAGAATTACGTTTCATACAGTGGTCAGTGGCTTTAGAAGTTCCCGTGAGTTAACTTATTTATAGACTTTATCGAAATATTCGATTTACATTAGACCATCATTTTTCATGTTTCACGACATGTTTCAGTTCCTAAAAGAACCATCTTCAGGTGTATATAATTATATAAAGATTCAAATCAATAATAACTTAAATATAATTTCTGAAATACAATTTCAATTACATGTCGTGAAAAATGATTGTCTAATGTAAATCGAATATTTCGATAAAGAACATCATTTAATATTTTGAATATTTTAAATTTTAATTATTGTAATATTATAATATTTAATAAGACTTTATTGTGATTAGACGGACAAGATTTAAATAATATATATTTATAGATTTATGTCAGTGGACTCCACGTACATTCTTCATAAATGTCATAACAACTGGCTCATTGGCTCCCATGAGGGGAATAATCTATTATTAACACCAGATCTGGGAAAGGGAAGTTTTCTGAATTTCTATGTCATTCTAGGTTGAGGATTACCATTGGATCACAGGACGAAATTTATGCTCGGCTAAAACCGAGCTCTAAGCAATAAATACAAACATGAAACAAACATAACAAAGTTCACACAATAGCCTAAGTTTGTAATTAACATGACGAGAAGCGTAGTTAAACTACTTTGACGTCATCATTTAATTTGCGTTCATCGCCTTAATGGCAGCTGTGTGTCACGCAAATTGCTGACAGATATCTGGCATAATTAACGTACGTAAGCAAAGGTTCCTTTTTTGGTCGATTACTAAATTCATCTAAGTCACGGTTCAGTTGACATAAGGGCGAGAAGAGAAAACATCAATTAGTACGGAAAGCGCTGAACACTTGTAGGCCCTGCACACAATTTCCGACATCGTAACTTAACGTGTGTATTTGTACTCTGAAAATTATGTTCCAGCTGTTGGTTACAAAACAGGTTCCTATTCGACTTTTAACTCGGTAGTAAAAACACATGAATTTCTCGAATGATGAAGATTTCTGTCTTCTGGGTTGTTGCGCTGTGTAGTCTGGT